AAACTTTCATTTTCTTGCTGGGTGCCTTTTTGTTGTTGAGTACTGGCACTCATAATGCAAAGCACATCCCTGCATGTGCATGCGCGCACAACAGCCTTCCCTGCTCCCCCCCCCCCGCATTACTCACCTCCAAGCTGAGCTTGGTATTTCCCCCAGGTGGGGTGGGGAAGGCCATTTTTGCCCTTCCCAGATTCCAGGAAAGCCTCTGGAGTCTGGGGGGGTGAAAAATGGGCCCAACGGATCAAATGAAAGTTTGGAAACAAACTTCTAGTTGGCCCATTGGGCCTGTTTTTCACCCTCCCTAGGTTCTGGAGACTTTCCTAAAGCATCAGGACAGCAAAAACAGACTCCCCCGGCCCTCCAGAAGGCCGAAAATCATCTGGCCAGCACACACATGCGTGCTGGAGCTGATGTTCGCATGCCAGCAGATATGTCTTTGCATGCCATCTGTGGCATGTGTGCTATAGGTTCGCCATCACAGTATAGACTCAGTCATTCTCTGTGGCAGATGGACTCTCCTGAAGGATGCTCCAATGATAGCTTTTCTACCAGGCTATTAAAGGGAAATAAGGCAGGGAAAAACTGAAAATTTCAACACTTCTGTCCTATCTACAGTTTGAGGGAAGTTGATTGATTCTGCTTTGGTCTCCCACCACCTTTGAATGGAATGACAGATAGAATAATTGCAAGTCTCAATCACTCACCTGCTATCTCCTTTTAGGAGCTCTGTTGCCTGGCATATGTGTGAAAACTCCCAAATTCATTTTGAAACTTATAGTCCAGGCACATCTGGAGAACAGCTTTTCTGTTCATCCATTTTCAGTGGCCTGGATCTAATAATGCCACACTGAGGGATGGAAAGTCATTATGCTAAGTAAGTAAATAAATAAATAAACCAATACTGTCTCTACCTTGGGGCCAAAGTAAAGGGTAAGAGAAGAATATATAGCAGAAATTATAGTAGTTCTTTGAAAGAAACAATGAGATAAGAATGACTATTGCCTATGGTCCAGAAAAACGTAAGCCAAAAAACACCCAAAAAGAATAGGGAGAAGTTTATCTGTTCTTTAATCTTCAGCCCACAGCAATTCTCTTTCTAGCAAGCTTGGTGAAGGAACATTAGATTGGTAAAGACCACATTGTTGGTGAAAGACTGCATGTGGATTTTTACACCCATACACCCGCAAGTAGTCAAAACATGCAACTTTTTGGGTGAAGAATATATAGATATTAATAAAGTTAATAGAACAAGATAAATAATAAGGTAGCTGTATAACTCTGTATTTCATTATAAAATTATATTTTGATTATATTGAATGATATTTAAAATTTTCTTTCTCAATAAAGAACAAACATAGTTTAAGTAAAAATAAGAAAATTTGGATAAGCCAGTCTGTAAAACAAACTTTAAATAGATGATGTTTTAAAGAAGTATGCTGTCAAAGATACAATATATATGTAAGCAAGTGGATTTTGTTAATGATTTAATTGTCTGACTCATAAATTAGCTAGAAGTGGGGCACTGAAATATAAATACAAGTTTTTGTCAAATATTAAAGGGCATTAACTTTGGGTCTGTAAAAATATTGTGTAATACATGGATTTCTACTACACAAAAATAATTACATGATGTTTAAAATTAATATTAAATTCTCAGCCGCCCCAAACCACTGTTTTTCAACCTAAGGTACCTCATCCAACATTGCCATCATAATTTAGCCATTTCCTGCCCTGCCATTTGTTGAACTCAAATGGGGAAAAATGGTTGAATAGGGTATGAAACACATCCTTTCAAACACAGATAAAACATCATCACCTCCTCATTTACATAGGACTCCACCCACAGTATGTTGTGGTGGTTGCCCTCTGAAGGAACATCCTGTGGCACCTCTGACCAATCCACCCTTCAAGCCTTAAAAAACATGTTTTTACCCCAAGTTTTCAGATAAATTGCTGTTGGTGAACTTTTTTTGATGTGTGACATTGCCTGGGCTATAATTATTCTCTCTGTAACTCCCTTTTATATTTATTGTCTCTTTAGTATGTATTGTATTGGTTTATAATAATACACTTCCCAGATTCTCTGTTGGGTTGGGAAGCCCTAGAAATCTGATTATCAATCAATCAATTATAAATATGACACAGTGTTCTCCAGCACGGAGATCATTCGCAAATATGCATGAATGCGCAAACATATTTGAATGCATAAACTCAGAAGCTTGGCATTTAACTGGCAAAAAAAAGTTACCTATTCCTGCCTTCAGTTTGATTTGGAAATCAGTACAGAAGCCACCAACAGCTGTACCAGCCTGTCATTTCATCCCCAGCCCTAGCATTCTCAAATCTCTCAAATCCCACCTTTTCCCACTTGTATCCCCATTTATTTATTTATTTATTTTAACAGGGAAGGGATGAAGAAAAACGCGATCCTTGCCCATTCCGTTTCTTTCGAAAACTCCAGTCTGTACTTTATTAATTGCTCGCTCCTTCGTGCATTGATTGCAACGGAGACCAATCAGGTCAACAGTCACACCCCGCTTCCGATCTTTCCTACGGACGTTCTTGTCCTTTTAATGAGCTCTCTATCTCGGCGGCGCCCGTTCCTTCCCAGTTTGCAAAAGAAAGGAAAACGGTTCGGGAGAGTCCAATTCCCGCTTTGGCTTGCGCCTCCCCAAAGGCGACCGAGCAGACGGTTTGTCCTTGCGCGAGTAACTGATTGTGCCGCCTTGCACACCTGCGCTCACCCGTCGGGTCTGTATGCTTCAAGGTCCCTTAGCCCCGGGAACCCAAACAATGCCAGAAGTTTTCCAGGGTGTTATCGCCACACACACACACACGCACGCACCGCCTCGTATATTAGCCTTGGAACTACTGTAGTCAACGCAAGCAAAGTTAAGTTGCATAGGTTTATTTTGATAAAGGGAGACTTCCCACTCAAGGCTACCGTTGCCTGCACTATTTCAACAAGCATCGCTTTCCCCTCCTGTCCCCCAGGACCCCTAATTTAATGTATCCGAGACCTATCAAAAGCGCTGGCAGGATTGATGTCCTTCCTTACCCTCTCCATTCAAAAGTGGGATAGAGTACAGGAGTTAAGTAGTTGCGTTTTTTAACGAGGGGGGGAGGGAGTTTTGACGATTCCGGTGTAAGGGTGGGGTGGGGAAATCGTACTGACCAGTTGTGGGAACATCAGGAACCAGCTTGATGGGACCGATCTGCCGCATCTGAAACGCCGTCCTTACTTCGTGGCAGCTGGGATTCTTGATTCCAGAGACCCCGCTGCATAGTCCGGTGGCCGCTGCCGCTAGCAGTAAGAGCTCGAAACGTCGCCAACACAAGGAGACTCCGGGACTGTTGTCACCGGCCATTTCCACATTCCCCACAGGGGACAAAGATAAACCAGGGGACGCCCAGCACACGTCCCAATTAATAAGTCGGCAGGCTCACACGCACGAAATGAGGGAACAGGAGGGAGTGAAAGAGGTGGCAGCGAGCGTTCAAGTTGAAGGGGGAGTGGGGAACTTGCCCTGGATAAACTTGCGAGCTGTGGGCGGGGGATTGAAAAGAAGGAGAGTGGGGGAGCCCCGCGGAGGTCCTGCACCGAACCTCTCGAAGCCCTGATCCCGGGAACTGCGACTCTTAGAACCTTCGCTTTTCCCGCGGGCGTTCGAAGAGTTGGATAGCTAAAAGCTCGTCAGCTGGGGAGACGCCAGTCATATTGGAAATATGACTTTTCCTCCTCCTCCTCCTCCCCGCTCTGCCTCCAATGAACACGCCCGGCGGGAGGTGGTGGTGGTAGTCCTGCAGTCCATCCTTCTTTATTCCGTAGTTGCTGTAAGAGGAGCAGTCGTCCTATTTATTAGCTTGCGCTATACGTTACACTTTTCCCCAATAAGGACGTTTCTTTTAAAAATGCGTTTGCATCCCGTGCAAACTCGTGCCGGATACTTTTTCTTTGTTGCAATATACTCCAATGCTACACCTGCGAGTATTTCTCCTGCCCCCCCCCCAAAAAAAATCGCTTCCGGGGGGGGGGGGGAACGTATAAAATAACTTTTCTTTCATCAAATGAGGTGTAGACTGGTAAACAAATAAAGTACAGAACTATTTCTATGATTTGGCCTACTTCCAGTACCTTGTGGCCCGTCTTCAAGAAAACACTTAAGTGTAATTTTACTTCTCAATTCCACATTACTAGTGTAAGCCCACCTATATAAAGACTGGTGCTCCAATGAGTAAGACCAGGAGAGCTAAATGTAAGCAGGACAAGGTAGAAGGCAGAACTATGCCTAATAATGGTCAGAAATACAAGAAATGGAGCACATATATAGATGCTAATAAGGGTGGTGAGGTGCAAAACTATCACCTCACAGAAAAGCAGCTGCAGGGCCTTGGAAGAATTCCCTGAAGGTTTTAAAGAGTTTCCTTGAAATATGTAATGAAAACCTTGTTTAGCAATGCTTGTTCTCAAGCCTGAAACAAAGGAATTAGCTTAAAAGTTTTGTAAGACTGCACTGTACACACTAATAACTTTTCTTTGTATGGAGCCTCAGTAATGTGGGAAATTTTACATGTTGACTTTCCGTCAGTTGACAATTATTTAAGACTTGGGAGCCCTGCTGTAGCACACTTATCAAATTTAATGTATGTTAACCATAAGCAAAGTTTAATTTAAAACAGAATTCCATTTTCTGCAGTTTTGACAGTTTCCTAACTGCCAAAGTAAGTAACGCATGAATAAGATCTGCTGCCATTTACCATAATAGTAATATTGTTAAAGCAGCCCTAGTGAAAACTATTCTGCAAAACAGATAGGAAGAATCAGACAAACTAAGGAAGAGAGGGGTAACAACAGACACATAATTAAGATGAAACTAAGGATGGCTCAAAATCATAAATGTTCCTGATAAATATCTCCATGGAGATTGTCAGTAATGCATGTTTGTCCCAAAGATGCTTTTTCAAAAGGCAACTGGACTTTGTCCTTGAAAAAGCACCTTTGGGAAATTCCTGATAAATTGGAAATAAATACAGACTTCACCATCCTTGTTTTACAACTGCCATACTCGTACATTTCCTTATTCTTGAATTAAAGTGCTATCCATTCATCCTGGCATTGACAGAGTTGCTATCCTGAGTGCCAATCCTTATGTTTCTATGGATTTTGTTCCAATTTATCATTAAATGACATTGTCCTGTTTTATCTGTGTCCATTTGAGTTGCCTAAGAGATTGTTTACCCTTTGTTGCTCTCCCTTTTCAGCATCTCTCCAAATGATGGGGAAAACATTCATTGATTAGCAGTTTAATTTGACATAGATTCATTCTAGGTAGGGAGCCACAATATGAAATTAATTCCTTGCTCCATCCTTCCAACTGTTAATACAATAATTTCTGCCATGCATTATTCTGAGCTTAGGAGTTGAAGTATATCATACAGATTCAGGGATAGGTAGTTCCAGCATTACAAGCAAGCACTTAACTTAGGTGGAGAGTGATTGTCTTCACTTCAATATATATTTGGAGGAGTTGAGTTTATTGATGTGTCTTATTATCAAGCCCACTCCCATTAAATATGTAAGGTACTACCATTAATTGAACTAAGGTACCTTTGTGAAGGCACTTACCCCAAAAGCCCATTTCAATAGACAAGATGGGTCACATAGGTTTGGAAAGGTGGAGAAGGAAGGGTGTAAGCTCTGTTTTGACTGTACCTCTTCATGATTTAAGTGAAAACATTTATCCATTGCTTGATATGACTACTGAGGCTTATACAAAGCCACACAATCTATATGAGGCATTTTTTCCCCTAACAGGACTACTAAACTATAACAGAATAAGTTAAGTTTTCTAGAACTCTTTGTCAGACAGCTTGTTCAACAAAAGAGGAATATGGAGAAGTGGTACAGGGAGTAATGTAATTGCTCTTCAAATCTTGAGTTTATTTGTTTGCTTAAAATTTTGTATAAACCAAAAACCAGTTTTGGAACACAAAGAAAAATTCAAAAGGCATAAAATATTTTCTTTTTGAAATGCTAAATTTGTGAGTGGTCCAATTTTCCAAAGTTTGAAATGTTCTCCCGCTGTAGAAACTTGTTGCTTCAATATGAAACAATATTGCATCCAAGCTCCTAAATTAAAAACATCCATTATTCTCTCACCTCTTTAAATCAAGGCAATAATTATTCCCCTCAGTTAAGAATGTCTCTCTAAGAAATTTCCACTGCATGACAATTGCTACAAAAACAAAACAAACCAAGTTTACTTATTTCCTTCTTTTCATTTTTATTACTGTTCCTATCAGATGATTCTGGGCAAGGAACAGAAAAATCAAAAACAGCAATTTCCACCGTAACATATTCAAGGTAATAAACATAACCCAATCAACAGGAATGAGTAAACCAAACAAATCTCCAGAATTAATATATTGCATAATATATGGGCCACTGCCATGAAGGCAGGTTCTCTAGTCCTCAATTCCTTTGGTGAACTACTTTGGAGACAAATTTCTAATCTTAGAAATTGTTTTTATACAATAAATATTCCTTCATTAATAATCCTAAAAATGATTCATCACTATGGATAGATGTCATTCTAAATGTTACAAGTTCATCTTCCGCTTTTATTAGAAAAACACAAACTTTTAAAAATCTTGATAAATTTATAGCAGCATGACAGTTCTTGGAAGAGTAGATGCTTCTTTTCTATTTTTGTTCCGTATAATAGCCAAGTTATCACAGACTAAAAGCACCTACAAAACTTCAGGGAACTTGATAGCTGCCCATATTCACTCTAAAATCCCTGAGGAATTAAAGTCTAATGGTAGTCAAGTCAAACCAAATGTATGACTATGGGCATTCTCAGTCATCCAGGTCATGGTTGTCCCAAAGATGTTTTTTTTTTTCAAAGGGCAACTAGGCTTGCTTTGTTTATGCTTGAAGATGTTTAATTTCTCTCCCAAGAAGTTTCTTCAGTTCTGAACGGGAAACAAAGTCCAGTTGCCCTTTGAAAAAGAACCTTTGGGAAAACCAAATGTATAGTCTGATGCAATATTAAAGATTCTTACCCATCCTCTTACTATACATCATTGTAGAATAACTTTAGGAAGCCATTAGCCCATAATATAGATGGTTCAAATCATCTCGGTATTTTGGCACAAAGAATATCCTGTGTAAACATAAACTTTTGAACAATCCCAATTAATTTTAATGGACCTAGGCTGAAAAATATCCTAGTCATCCTGTGCCTGACTGATGAGTCAGATTCATCTGTCTGTTAGTCTGTCTCTTAATACTTGAAACAGATGCCGCCAGTTAATTCCTGTTGAGAAGGTATGTGCATGTTAAATGGTTTCACCTCTTGGAAACATTCATTCTAGTTGTCAGCAGATTTCCTGGCAAAATATCAACAATTTTAAAATAATTGTATGTTTCAAAAATAAAATCATTCCAACTTATATATTTATTGTCTCAAATATACTGCATAACAACCAGCTGCAGCACAGGTGTATCAATAGTGGGCTTCTTCTAAGTCATGTACTACTGTTACCAACTAAATCATTATAATTAAATCCTGATGATTAAGGAACAGATTTCAATATCGATTGTGGTACAAAATTGTCAGTTAATCTCTAGAAATTATAAAGCAGTGATCTATACTAAAAATTATGTGTGAATAAACATCTGATGTTATCAATTCTATATTATTAACAACATCAATCACATATCTATAACTTGCAAGTATATTATTTATATTTTCAGGAAGTCTTCATGATTTCATAGGTTTTATATTCTTCTTATACTGCCAAACTAAACTCTATTCATTAATATAAATCAGGGCTGGGTTGCTCCCGGTTCACACCGGTATGCCAGAAAGGGTTCGTCAAATTTACTGTACCTTTTAGAACCCGTTCATCCGGTGGGACAGTACCAGAATGCTCCCTCCCCACCTGCCCCCCATCGCTCACTCACTTGCCCAACCTGCCCACACCATGCTTGCCCCGCCCACCCACTTCCTTTGCCCACCTAGCTGAGGCTCCAAGGCTGCAGGTGGCTGGGGAGGTGGGGGAGGAAGGCTGCCTGTCTGCCTGCCCCCTCCAGAAGAAACTTGGCAGGACCTGGGACAGTCAGCAGCCCACGCACCACTGCCATGTGACCGCTCTGGGGGTGCAGCACCTGCCCAGACACAGCTGCAGACGGCAATATGATGCAAAGAAGAGACTATCCAGCAGAGTGTTCCAAGATCAGTGGGTTGGTGGGGACATTGTGCTGGGCTGGACTGGGAGCATCAGGAAGCAGGGTCAAGGCTATTCCCCCATACCAGCAAAAAAAGATTTCACCATCCTGGAACTGTGCCACGAGGTAAGGGAAGCAGGTCTTAGGAGAAACCTTCCCTCTTCCTTCAGAGCATTCATATGGGGAGATAGGAGGCAGCCTGGTTTGAATGCGAGAGGGTGGCAGTGCTTCCATGCATTTGGACAGGGGGACAAAGAAAAAAGGTGTGCG